AAGCGCTCGTTCTCTGACAGGAGGTGCAGACGTTGCTTGCAAAAGGCACTGAGGAAATAGTGCCCCCAGCGAACAGCGAGTCAGGCTTTTTCAGCCGCTACTTCCTCGTTCCAAAGAGAGATGGCGGGCTCAGACCCATTCTGGATCGCAGACGTCTGAACCACTCGCTTATGTGCCGGTTGTTCAAGATGTTAACTATCAAACAGATCCTCGCGCACATTTGCCCCAAGGACTGGTTTTTGACAGTGGATCTGAAAGATGCATACTTTAACATCCACATAGCCCCCCCAGACCATTCTTGAGATTCGTGTTCGAGGGAGTGGCCTATCAATATACAGTCTTTCCTTTTTGGACTTTCTCTGGCCGCGCACACTCATGAAGTGAAACCTCGACAATTGGCTGGTTCTAGCCAGGTCAGAACAGGAGTTGGCTGCTCACAGAGAACTGTTACTCAGCCACGTTGATCATCAACCTGCACAAGAGTCAGCTGTTGCCCAGACAGCGATTGGGAACAATGGGAACAATTTTAGACTCCGCCCAAATGCGGGCGGCGTCTCTCAAACCAGTGACAACTCAGGTTTTTCAGGTTTTTCAGAGGTTGCTTGGCCTTATGGCGGCCGCTGCCTCTGTAGTTTCTCTGGGCCTGCTTCTCATGCGGCCCCGGCCCCTTCAGTTTTGGCTCAAAGCCCGCGTTCCACCCCACGCCTGGCGCCTGAGGGGCTTCCTGTCAGGGTAGACCACCGCTGTATCAAGGCTGTGGCCCCCTGGACGACCTCTCGCCTGTTCCAAACAGGAACGAGATTAGGCCTGACCTCCAGAAGGAAGGTAGTCACAACGGATGCGTCCAACTCGGGTTGGGGCGCCCTTTTGGAGGGCAATCCAGCATTTGGCTCCTGGTCAGCCCCGGAGCAACGCCTGCATATCAACTGCCTAGAGATGTTGGCAGTTTTCTTAGCCCTGAAAACCTTCCTTCCGGCCTTAAAAGGGCACCACGTCTTGGTCCGGTCGGACAGCATGACGGTGGTGGTCTACATCAATCACCAAGGCGGTCTCAGGTAACGCACTCTATACAGTCGCCTCCTCCTTTGGGCACGGAGAGAACTTCTCTCATTAAGGGCGGTTCGCGTGCCGGGCAGATTGAACCTTGGCGCAGATATGCTGTCCAGAGGCAAGGTAGCCCCGGGCGAATGGGCGCTACACCCTTAAACGGTTCAAAAGATCTGGTCAGTCTACAGGAGGGCAGAGGTCGACCTCTTTGCCTCAGAAGACAACTCTCACTGCCGATACTTCTCGATACTTTCAGCCTTAAAAGGGC